AGCCAGGAGCCAGGTGCTTCCTCCTGGTCTCCCATGGGGTGCAAGGCCCAAGCACTTGGGCCATCCTCCACTGCCTTCCTGGGCCATAGCAGAGAGCTAGTCTGGAAGAGGGGCAACCAGGACAGAATCTGGCACCCTGACCGGGACTAGAACCTGGTGTGCTGGCACCGCAGGTGGAGGATTAGCCTATTGAACCGCAGCGCCAGCCTCAAATTTTTTATATAGATACTTTCATTAAATATTTCAAAAGCCCCACAATGACTAAGACCCTCCTTTTTTTTTTATTTGACAGATAGAGTTAGACAGTGAGAGAGAGAGACAGAGAGAAAAGTCTTCCTTCCATTGGTTCATCCCTCAAATGGGCGCTAAGGCTGGAGCTATGCAGATCCAAAGCCAGGAGCCAGGTGCTTCTTCCTGGTCTCCCATGCTGGTGCAGGGACCCAAGCACTTGGGCCATCTTCTGCTGCCCTCCTGGGCCACAGCAGAGAGCTGGACTGGAAGAAGAGCAACCGGGACTAGAAACCCAGCGCCCATATGGGATGCCGGCGCTTCAGACAGAGGATTAACCAAGTGAGCCACGGCGCCAGCCCCAAGGCCCTCCTTTTATAAATGGGAAGATTCAGACTCACAACGATTAAATTCTTGTTGTTCAACTAGCAAATTTACTAGGATCGAAATATATATTCATGTATCTCATAGCCAAAACACTATAATTTAAATTAAAATTGTCATTCTGAAATAATTATACATTAAGATGTAACTGTGAGAAATAATACAGAAAGTTCCTAGGGTCACTTTATCCATTTCTCTCCAATGACAACATCTTACAAAATTGTAACACAATACCACAACTGGGATGCCCACACTAATACAGTCAAAAAACATGAAAATTCCAACATAAGTTTTCTTATATTGTCCTTTCATAGCTGTACCCACTAGGGTCCTATCACCAATCCTTACTGTACTACAACTTGGCAACAGCTTATAAAATTATATTTATAATTATTTTATTAATATACTATAATGAATTCTTAAATTGTGAATTTGTGCTTTATTAAACAGTATTATCAGATTATATTTATATTATAAAATATGGCATTTATTATTTTTATTAAAACATACATTTTAAAACATTTCAGCTATTTTTGTTGAAGCTTGGTAATGCTAGAAATCAAAACATTTCAGTTATCAAAACTTTCTTATCATAGTACTGTGGCTTACAATTTTCTTTCATGGTAGGAAAATATGAAACAACAATTTAAGAAATTGTACAGCAGACATTACTTGTGAATATCTTACAATTATATTTTAACTCGTAGTGACTATTGCATTGGCAAGTGCTGTCCTGGAAACTTAGATTGAGTTTTAGAGTTTTGAAAATTCCAATCATGTTAATATGTTAAAAGAACAAATAAGAACAATTTAAAATGTTCATGGAAAATTAAAATTAAGAGATAAGTTAAGGGCAGAGTATTTCAAGTTGTGATTAAGGTTACTTGAGATGTCTGTATCCTGTATCAGAGTGCCGAAGTTTGAGTCCTGGCTCTGCCCCTTATTCTGACTTCCTGCTAATGCATACTCTTGGAGAAATCAAGTGATAATTAATGTAGTTGGGTCCCTGTAACCCACATGAGAGACCCAGGCTGAGTTCATGGCTTCTGACTTCATCCTGACCCAGCCCCAATTCTAGCAGCATTTGGGAAGTTCTCCGGTGGATGGGAAATCTCTCTATCTGTGTTGGTCCTTCTGTGTGTGTGTCTCCCTCAGTCTCTCTACTTTTCAAATGAATTAAATGAAACGATACATTTATGTTTTTATTTTTTTAAGTTTATTATTTACTTGAAAGAGCAACAGAGATGGAGAGCCAGAGAAAAAGGAGAGAGAGGGATCTTCTATCCATTAATTCACTCCCCAAATGACTGCAACAGCAAGGTCTATGCAAGGCTGAAGCTAGAAGGCAGGAACTACATCATAGTCTCCCATACGAGTGGCAGAGACCCAAGCACTTGGACCATCTCCCCATGCCCTCCAGAGTACATCAGCAGGAAGCAGAGCAGCTGGGACACAAACCAGCACTCTGATACTGGAGGCAAGGTGTCTCAGGGGTGGCCTAATTCACTGTGTGACAACACTAGCTCTGAATTTTTTGAATTTTAGTTTTTAGTTAGTTTTTATCAGATTCATTGTGACTTTTAGCTGCAGCTGTAAGAACATTATATTCCCTTCTTCCCTCCTTTCCCCCTCCTCCCTTCTATCCACTTTCCTTTTTTTTTTTTTTGTTTAGTTTTTGAGGTAACATCTTTTAAAATTATGTTATAGTAAAAAGGCTTAAAACTTTGCCAAGTAAGACGTTTAACAAATAAAAAACCGAAAGACTCTATTGGGAATATAGACAACGGCTATAAACAATAATTGAATGGAAAAATGATTGACTCTGATATTTTTAAATTAGTTTAATTTGAAATAAATTCATGGTTTTTCATCATTTGGGGAGTGAATTAATGGATAGAAGATCCCTCTCTCTCCTTTTTCTGTCTCTCCATTTCTGTTGCTCTTTCAAGTAAATAATAAACTTTAAAAAAATAAAAACGTAAATATTTTAATTCATTTGAAAAGTAGAGAGACTGAGGGAGACACACACACAGAAGGATCAACACAGATAGAGGGATTTCCCATCCGCCGGATGAAAACGTCCATGAATGTTCTAAATATCCCTGACTCACAGTTATAAACCAAGCATCTAGGTAAAGTATATAACTGTTAGCATAACCACGTGTGGCCTTAAACCACACATAGTTCAGTAGGTGGGCAGATCAGGGATATAGTACTGAGAGAGCAGGGTGCTGTATATTGATAGTTCACACCAGTTTGTATATTTTCTCTTTTTTATATGTATTCTTCTTGTTTTAAATATTTATTTATTTATTTATCTGAAAGGCAGAAATACAGGGAGAGAAGGAGAGAGAGAGAAATCTTCTATCAGCTAGTTCACTCCCCAAATTGCCACAAGGGCCGGAGCTGTGCTGACCCAAAGTCAGTAGCCAGGAGCATGTTCTGGGTCTCCCACGTGGGTGCAGGGGCCCATGCACTTAGGTCATCTTCCACTGCTTTCCCAGGCCATTGCCAAGGAGCTGGATCGGAAGTGGAGCAGCGCCCACAGGGTATGCTGGCAACGCAGGCCGAGGCTTAACCTTCTATTCCACAGCACCGGCCCCATGTATGTGTTCTCTTTAAAGATAAAAACAATAAATGTACTTTTAGTGTTATTTTGACAATTTATCAATGTGAAGTTATAAAGTAATGTCATTTATATTCTTGGGCCACAGAAGCAGGGTGGGAATTTGTGTTGTATTTTCTTCTGGTTTGATTGTGAGAAATTTTCAAACAAAATGAGTGTCATGAGATATATTTGACTTTTCTTTCTTATTAATTAACTTTATATAGTGACAAATTTCTCAGTATGATCTAAAAACACTACTTGAAGCTCCCATGATATTTCACTCTGTACATTATTATACAACTTATTGACAATTTCCTTACTATATATAGTGATTATTCTCATTTTTGTCCCATTAGCAATACCATGATAGATAAAAATGTGCTCCTTGCCGGCGCCACAGCTCAATAGGCTAATCCTCGGCCTGCGGTGCCAGCACACCTGGTTCTAGTCCCGTTCGGGGCGCCGGATTGTGTCCCGGTTGCCCCTCTTCCAGGCCAGCTCTCTGCTGTGGCCCAGGAGTGCAGTGGAGGATGGCCCAAGCCCTTGGGCCCTACACCTGCATGGGAGAACAGGAGAAGCACCTGGCTCCTGGCTGGATCAGCGCAGTGCGCCAGCCGCAGCGCACCAGCAGCAGCAGCCATTTGAGGGTGAACCAACAGCAAAGGAAGACCTTTCTGTCTCTCTCTCTCTCTCTGTCCACTCTGCCTGTCCAAAAACAAAAAAAAAAAAAGTGCTGCTCTTTGTTTCCAGTTGTCTCTTAAGTAAATTTTGTCTCAGTTGTTGGTTTGCTTTTTTTCTTTTTCTTTCTTTCTTTTTTTTACTTTATCACAGTAGAAAAACAACCAATTTTTAAAAAAAGACGGAAAAGGAAGGATTAAAGATCAATATAAAAGTTTCATTCACAGCCCACGGAACAGATGCTGCAGTGTTTTTGAATAGAACTCTCCAAATCCAAAAAAAAAAAAAAAAAAAAAAAAAGGAGAAGGGTCATTTCTATTAGAACCCTCTGAAAAGATTTCTTTGCTTTATTTCATCCAGATCCTGATTATTTTACATAATTATTGGACCTAGTGATCTAGTGAGGGACTTGGGTAAAAATTAACAAATATCAAAGCACTGTTGAGCCCTGCAAAATATGAGGAAAGCAAAGGAAGCAACATGAGCCACCAGTAACTACAGGTTTAGCATGAAGTAAGCATCGAAGGCCTTGAAATGACCATCTATGGAAGACAGACATCCCAGAAGACAAGTCATAGTACTGACATCATGTGGCCTCGTGGTATTTCTGGAAATAAGATGCTTTGTTCTTTTTTAGGATTCATATGGGGATTTTAAAACCATTAACAGTAGCTGAAGACCTGTGCTTGGCCAAGCCCTGTGAGAAGTCAGCAAAATATGTTCTCATTCTCCAGGCATTGACAGAATTTACCGCAGGTACTTAAATGCATAAATGAGTACTGGATAGAGCAGACTGTAATACAAATTGTAGCGAGACCACCAAGTAAGTCTATAGGAGAGATGTATTCATCTCGATTAATCCAGGTAGAACTTTGTGGGAAGATAATAGCTTAATTTGACATCTCTTCAACAAATATTTATTAGGCAGTTATGTTTTCTACGTAAAAGGCATTTAGCAGTGAACTAAGTGGAAATCTTGATCTCAAACCACTTATGTGTTTGTTGATAGAGTAAGGCAAAGAAAAAGCCATACAATAGTAATAGAATCATCACTTAAGGGTAATAGAATTTCACAACAAAAAGGATTTTGGAACTTCTTCATTCTGGAATCTAATCCAAAATTAAAGCAGCTTAATGAAGGAAAGCATGGGTGATTCGGTAAGGAAACTATTGTAGAATTCCTGCTCACTGCCTAGCATCTCTCATTCTGTAGCTAATGACAGTGACCCTGGTTGTGAATTTGACAGGTCATGTGGTTTGCTTGTGCAAGGGAGCTAATATGTACCTTGTTTTAAATTTGAAAAAAAAAATGGGGTTTCTAAAAGCTATGTTGTAAAGTAAAGCATTCTGGCATTTCCATGGTTCCCAAAGGGACAGGAACTGAGGCGAACATTTATTTTGTTCCCTTCTTCGACTGCTGGCCTGGTGCGACTTTTCAGCTGTTGGCACTGGTGATTATACAAAGATTTAAAGAAATACACTACCATGTCCACCTGGGGAAGAGGATGGTGGGTGGGGCAAAAGCCCAAAAGACCCAAGCACAGGATGCACAGGAAGGTGGGGAGCAGATGATGTTTCTTGAAAGAATAAGAGCTCACAATGATCATCATGTATATGGGGAAAGGAAATATGCAACGTGAAAGCCCAGAACGATGCAAAGTCAAAAAAAAAGACTTTGGTTTGCACCTTAGAAAGATCTACAGACCAGTGAAAGGGGTGGGCAAAAGCAGAGCTGTAAGAAGCCCAGCTCCTAGCACAGAAACATTCCTCCGGCTCAGAATGAAGCCACAGTGCAGAGATCAGTTGCTGCTGTTATGCTGTTCTCTCTCTCTCTCTCTCTCTCTCTCTGTGTGTGTGTGTGTGCCTGTGTGTGTGTCTTTTTCTCATTACAAGCATCTAAAGAAATATCTTTTATATCATTGGGAGACATTGAGATATCAGAGAAGAGACACACTTAGTTCTGAAGGGATCAAAAGAAATGAAGAGCAGCTCTTCAATGGGCACAGGGTTACCTTTTTTTAAATTTATTTTATTTATTTGAAAGATAGCGTTACAGAGAGAGGTAAAGCCAGAGAGAGAAAGGTCTTCCAACCTGCTGGTTCACTCCATGAATGACTGCAACATCCAGGCCAGAGCTGAGCTGAGCTGATACAAAGCCAGCATCCAGGAATTTCTTCTGGGTCTCCCACGTGGGTGCAGGGGCCAAAAGACTTGGACCATCTTCTACTACTTTCCCAGGCCGTAGCAGAGAGCTGGATCAGAAGTGGAGCAGCCAGGACTCAAACAGGAGCCCATGTGGGATGCCAGCACTGAAGGCTGGGGCTTTAACCCGCTGTGCCACAGAGCCAGCACCAAGGGTACAGGGTCACTTTTTAGAGTGATAGATATGTTTTCCAACTAGATTCAGAAGTGCAGAACATGGTACTAAATGTCACTCATTGACTTGTTCTCTTTAAAATGTTCAACTTAATGTTATGTGAATCCATCAATTAACACAGGTAATGTAAAGGCACTCAGTCAATTGAATGAATTGGGAATCAGAAAGGAAAGAAGTCATACTATGTAGAACACAGAAGAATTAAAGCAGCAGTGGTGTTCATGGCCTGGGGGTAGAGCCCATTTTCCTAGAATACAAGATTAATAATGAGGAATAATGGAAAGCAAGTCCAACTAAGTTTCTCTGATATAATTATGAGAACAATCTTTGTCATGAGTTTGTACCAAGGAAATTAGAAGGTTACTTACCACGTACGTTTAAAGTGTTAAAATATGAAAGATGAACCATACTGTACAGTACAGAAAACTGTTCCACCTTTTTCTGGAAATACTGATTCAATTTTCTGAGCTCCAAACTTCATAGGAATATAGGCTAAAAATGGCCACATGAGTCTATTCAGGAAGTCTTCTGGTAATATACACAAAGGTATATATAAATATCTTTATGCTCTTTTAGTTTCTGCTTTTATTTTTCTTAAAGTTAAGAGAGTTGAAGACTTTGCATTGATGGAAACCAAATAATTTCATATAAAATGAATTTTCTTATTTTTATTTGAAATAATTAGCATAATTAATCATTATTGGTATTTATAATGAATACTTAATTTACACTTAGAGAAATTGCTTATGATTACAACTCATTACCAAATAATTACATGCTGCATAGTGACTTATGTCATGCTGTTAATTTATAATGGTGGAATGGACCAATCTTTCTAAACTTAAATTCTAGCCTTCCATATAAATCCAATACTTTATTTTAAAAAATGAATATTGATACATGTATTCTGTTGCAATTTTCTGTTGTTTGTGCATAAATCACAGATGGGATTGAAATATCATTTTTGCTTAAAAAAGGTATGGGTACTGACATAGGTATTGGGTGAAAGTTGTTCTCATTTGGATTACTGGGTACATTGTCAGTCAAAGAGTGTCCACTTGGAGTGGGAAGCAGATCGCTGACAACAATCCTACAGGACATGGTACCATTGCCCTTTGAGATGACTCTCCCTTGACAATTTCCATATTGGACTGAGTGCATTAGAAATCTTTCCCTTCTTTTAAGTAAAGCAACATCCTCAATTGCCACCAGGATGCAGGAGAGAAACTCCAGCCATGCAGGGGCCTCTGCCTTGTTTGCAGTCACAGAAAGAGCAGTAGGGCACAATGGGACATAGGCATCCCTGCATTATACCACCTTCAAAATCAAGTTTCTGGATTCCATTTCCAATATTCCCAACAATACACCTTGTGGACCTCAGGCAATCTTCTTACAGCACTTGAGCTTTTAGCATTAGGTGAAAACTGTATAAGGCATTTAGCTTAAATCCTAAAAGAATGAAAGCATTATGTAGATGATAGTAGTTGTAATTATTTTGAGTTGTCATCACCACAATGATTGCTATGTGGACCATGATTCACAATATATAATTGTGTGTATGTTTTTGAAGAGGAAGTATAAGTGACGGAGTGGATCATACTTAAAAATATATAGGAAAATGCAGATTTATATGATAAAGCACAGACATTTACCAGACATTGTCCACTATCACCTTCAAGGTTCAGTGTAGCACTTTGCATAGAACCTGCTTTCTCAGTTGGAGCTCAAAAAGCTGTCTAGTATTTAGGTACTTAAAGAAAGCAGAGGTTCAATAAATATCTCTAGGATAAATAAAGAATTTAGCAAGTATTGAAGAAAAGAATCAATTCAAATAGCTATCTCATAGGCTAATAATATCTAAATTTAGAATATTAGAAACATCAAACTTCCTATGTGTGTTTTCCGTTTGTTCATATTACCAGGATGTCTTAAAAGAGGACTCTGTGGGGCCTGCATTGTATCATAATGGGTTAAACCAAGGCCTGCAGTGCCAGGATCTCATATGAGCATTGGTTGTGTCCTGGCTGCCCCATTTCCCATTTAACTCTAGCTTTGGCCTTGCCCAGCACTGGCTTTTGTAGCCATCTAGGGAGTGAACCAGCAGATGGAAGATCTCTGTCTGTCTCTCCTTGTCTCTGTAACTCTGACTCTCAAAATAAATAAGTAAATCTTTAAAAAGGACTACATGGACACACTTGTGCTGGTGAGACAGATAAATATCTGTCTTGGTAAAACATCTATAAATTCATTTCCCCTGTGTCTCAATCAACTAAGATAAAAAGCTTCATATATACTTTTATGATATGATATGTTGCTGTAAAACATTCTATACATGAATACATGTAAATTACAATTTACATTGTAATTAATTACAATTACAATTTATTTAATTAAAATAATTCAACTTGTCATGCTCATATGCACATAACTTCAGCCCTCAGAAGATATTTGTCATCTGTAAAGTCAAGGTCATAATACATCATTTCATGGGTTGTTCAGAGGATATTTTTTGTCATAGGCAAACCCTTTTCTTCTTTTTTGTATTCAATTAAGAGATCCCTTTTCCCAAGACTTTCTTATGTCACAGATAGCTCATTCAAGAATCTGATTATATCTGCTGACTTTTGATTGAAATCCCATGTGGATGACTATGTCAAATTAATAGAAACAGATGACTAATGATATTTCACTGGCTCACTTGTATCGTGAACTGTCAGATGAATCTGGAAGCATCCATCACTTCACAGTATCATCATCAGCACAGCCATGCTTACATGAGACCAATAGATCCTAGAGTATAATGAGACTTACAGATTGAGAGGCTACATGATTCAATCTTGGTAAGGATGAAATCCTGTCATTTGTGACAACATGGATACAACTGAAAGACATTATATTAAATCAAGCAAAGCAAGCACAGAAAGATATGTACTGTGTGATCTCAATCATTTATGAAATCTAGAAAAATTGATCTCATAAAAGCCTGGTGTAGGGTAGTGGTTACCAGAGGCTCAGAGAATAGAGGGGATAGGTGCTAAGTTATCGTTAGACAGGAGGAATAAGAGGAGACTAGAAAGGAGGATTGGGCAGAGACGTTTAACTGTGATTTTTTAGCTTCAGGAAAGCCCTCAGCAGATCTGCAAGGGAGCTCTGGATTGAGGGTAGACTTCCACACTCCAGCTGGAACAAGTGATTCAGGCCTATATTTTTAAAGACATATCCAGTGTAAGCATGAAGACTCTGTAGAGTCTTGGTCAAGGAGCTATAATCAGCTTAGGGCCTGTCTCAGAAAAGAATCAGCTGTTGGCGGCTGGGGGAATTCGTGTTGCAGACTTGGTGGTGGGAAGGAGGCATTAGAGATGCCAGATTTAACAAATGAAAATACAAGATGTCCAGTTCAACACAAATTTCAGATTGACAAAAATAGATCTTATTATAAATATTCACCATACAATCTTTTTTGACATATTTATACTAAAATTTATCTGCTGTTTAAAATCAAATTGAACTATTTTATTTTATCTAGGGGTGGATGATAGAATATCATAGAAATGTGGCTATTCACTATACTAACAGAATTTACTATTATAATATATCAAAATACACAATAATTATCTGTTACGGAATAAATCATGTTCCCCTCCCTTGATAAATCATATGCTGAAATTATAAACCTCAGTGCCTCAAAATGGGACTGCATTTGCAGATAGGGACATTAAAGAGGGAATGAACACTAAATGAGAGTGCGACTTCCTAATCCAGGGTCTTTATAGAAGCAGAA